CAGGCTTAGGCATAACTATAATCGTTAATCGGGTTTAGTGCTTTACTGATTGCAAATTATTTTTTATACACATTTTATGCCAGACACAACTGTAAAAGTTTTCCAACCAATAGACATTTTTTTCGACGTAAAGGAAGAAAGTATGAAAAAAGGAGATGCAAGAGAGAGAATATTTGGAGTGAGATAATTTGGCGGGAGTGGTTGTTACCTGCAAATTGTATGACCTGAGCAATAGGGTATAGAATTGAATTACGTCAGGTTTACTTTTGCCACCTTTGGCGTGGAATGGTAAATTATCTGAAAACAATAGATATAAGAGGGATAGTATGGCCATGGAGGAAAATAGAAGTAGGAGTGAGAGTAGAAATAACAGTGGTAAACAAGAAATGATATGGGACAGCGACTCAAGGACAGTCGTGAGGAGTTTGTATTACTCTATAATGGGTTATGGGTGGACAGATAGACGAGCACACATTGATATTTGAAGAGTGGACAGACAAACTCACATATACTATCCATCAGGCACATTTGAAACTAAATCGATATAATGGGAGGCTAGTAGGCCTATCGCAGCGGTAATAGCATTTCCTGATTTATTATGCTTTAAAGCATTTCATTAAGGTTCATTTTAGTAACATCCAATCGAATGCAATATATCTTTTTCTCGCTTTTAATTTTTCTTATTTTCTTTTATCTCTTATTCAGTTTCACGATCAACATGTGTAATTCTGAAGTATCAAATAGGTCAAATTTGAAGGAACAAAGTCAGGACATTTAGAAATTGATCATTTCACACTTTCAGTCGTTAAAAAAACATGATCCCATTGGCATCAGCTATGAAGTTTGCTTCAAAATCGTAAAATCAAATAATCACAGTGGCACAATTCGAATGCTGGAGTGTCGCACAAGTCGACATTGATCATTCTAACATTCCCACAGATTTAAACATTCTGATATTGCAACAGTGAAATACCGGAAAATCCGGGTCTGGCATTATTTATCGGTACAGTTGATATGTTGTTATCTGTCGCAATTTCTGAAATTAGAAAAAAATGATTTTTTTTATAGAAACGCATTTTTTTTAAATCGGATGAGAAATATGTTAGGCAATTTCAGTTAACAGAAAGTTTAGTTAATATTGCAGCTAATTAATACGAAATCTCATTTTCATTTCAAGAAATGGAAAGGGGAATGGTGGTTAAGAAGTGGTATTATTATTAGTTTTGGACCAAAGCCGTCCATTTCGATAAATTACAAGTGAATAAGAGAAATTGTAGAATGTTAAGTGTATTCCAGACAAGTAAAATAAATCTCAAATAAAAAAGCGCTTCCAGATTCAGGTGTAAGAATTTCTTTCCTTCACCTCCACCTTTCATACTCATAATTAATCATTTTTAGGAAATCTACCTCTAGGAATATCAGTAAATTTAAACCTCCATTTTTGTTCTTTTTTGCCGTAGTTATATCAAAGTTACAGAAACTATATATATTTGTATATATAATGAAAGAGGAGTTATCGATGTGTTTGTGAATTTAAAAAATTTTCGTTGTCCTAATTTGTGTTAAATTAAAGACAATTTCAGCGTATTTTTCGCATGATAGATATCATTATAAAATCGGATTCTTTTTATTGCGCTATATGAATTTCATTTTCAAACTAGCCGTCATAGCTAGTTTTTAATAAATGAAGTTATTGACATGCTAGCATTTTATTCGTAACAGAAGATTCAATGTGACAACAGTAAAGAACCAGACATACTTTCTGAAAGTAACGATAAGATCTTTTCTTAAAGGACCTAACAATCATTATGAATTGTTTCAACATATTTACTTATAAATCAAATTTTAATTCATACAACTCAGAAATTTTTTCAGATTACTGTCTGTAGATTTTTCGCATTTAATTATGCTATAGGGATGGCTTTTTAAACATCATTAATAACACTTCTAATTACATACGTAGAACATCATAGTCATGAACAAAATTTAGGTTAATAATACATTTGCCTTTTTATGCAATATTTTGTACTCTTCAATGAAACATACATCCATCATTACTGAAATGGAGCTACTTAGGGGGAAAAGTTCATCATGCTGTCCTCCGTATTCTTTTTTTACCTTCATTTCCATTCCCTTATTTGGATATTTAAACTTACCGCTATATAATTTCGCTTATTCACAGTTCTTCTCAAGCCTTAATATGTAAAGAGATTTTTTGGAAAAAGAAAAAGGTCTTCGTGCAAATATTTTTGTAGTAGAAAGAATTTTTAGAATCTTTCTCAAATTTAATTTTTTCCTCAAAGCATTTAAGGAGTGAGAATTATAGATCGATAGTGAAATAGCAAAGCACAATACGCTCTTTCAAAATTTAATTATCCATCTGTTCCGATTGTGGTATGCTGCCATTGATGCAGCCTAATTGCATATTCTGATAGAGCCAGCTATCAAAATGCCAAGTTGCTAAACAACTGATTGCATGATAAACTACCAGACATTTTGGATCCGAGTTTCCCAATCTCACCCCCTTGTGGTTATCCAGGATAATTAAAGAATCGCGAGGTATAATCTGATTGCATTGTTGTTTCTCTTTGTTGTGATTTCGATTCAAGTTGATGGGGTCGAGTGATCAGAAAAGGGTTCACATAAGAAGAGGTGATATTGGAAGAGATCGACAGCATTTCTTACTGCTCTGATTGCAATGAATTTTCGACAGCGGGAGCTCCTTTCCTTTTTCTTTAATCGTTTCTTTCTTTGATTTCAGGCGATTTACTTTCTCATACATTCCTGCATTATTTACATTGCTTACGGAAGTAATTTTACAGACAAACGTTTTCTTTTATCGCGAATTCTGTTATAGTAAGTGCTTGATAAATTGATTTACTTATTTATCTCATTTATAATATGCTGCTTTTTCGTTATTTCTAGAAATTTGAGTACTGCTTGATTATTGTAAAAATAACAGTTGACTGCAGTACATTATAACAATACACTGCTGGCCTATTGTGACAACTATAATCTACAAATAAATTTATCCTAATGTGATAATTATCTGATAGTTAAGCTTCTAGAAGAATAAAATGAGGGTGATGGATATTAATACGGCAAGTTAGAGCATGACTGATTATTTTATTAATTATTAAGATGATTTCGATTTTATTGATTGAAGTGATCTGTTGGGCTTCTTAAAAAATTGCACCTTTTTTCAATTCCTGCAATTGCTCTCCGTAAAATGTGTCCAAAAATCCACACACTGATTATCTATTTGATTTTTTCGTTTCGAATTACGGCGAATGGAGGTCATCGACTAATTCGTACCGATAGAATGAATCGATTAACTGGTTAACCAATTTAGTCAATCAAATTTTTGCCTCATTTTAAAATTTAAGTGAAATTTTTAATTTCAAAACACTTTGATATTTGCTGTTTTCTAATGATTCACATTCGTCTCAGAACTGCATGATTTGTATTTTGAAATTTAATTGTGATTTTCGCTAATTCATTTTACTATTTACTTTCTCAACAAAATTAGGGACAGATTAGAAGTGAAAAATATATTGTGTGAAGTACAAGATGTTGATAATGTGATTATATGATATGTTATCAATTAATTTCCAAAGTCTCACCACTTCACTCTTTATTGTCTTAAATATTGATAACACAGCTTATATAATATTTCATAAATCGATAGGGAAATATCGCATTTAATGGACCTAATTTGAGCAATTGAAAGTTATCAAATGGTTTAAAGCACAAAAAGATGTGTTAAAAGCTCTTCGTGCCATATTTCCCTATCGATTTATGAAATAAAAATTGTGCCATACAGTGGTGCTATTACATTCTGTCATTCTTTCATATAACTGTTTTTTATTCTTTTCCATGCACTTTCATTTTTTCGTCGATGATTAACAGAATGAGAACTGCTCATAATTGAAAGAGCTGATATTTGGAATAAGTTAATAGGCCATTTTATAGTTGTCCCGAGGAATTGATGAGTGCTTGGATAGACTGTGGTTATGAAATGGAGGGCTTAGGACCAAAATGAGGATATCCCCAAATTGGGGATTTATTATACCTTGTCCCTTGATCCAGTAAATTACATATAATGAGGGTCATTCGACCGATTATTTCGTTTCAGAAGTTATGCCTTGCCTGAAATTGTTTGGGAGAAAAGAAAGTGGTTCTATGTGTCTGGTCAAAACAACAACAACAAGAGCAATTTTTGAAGTCTTTTTAGGCTAGCAGAAATTGAAGATTGTTGACGAAAGCTGGAATTAGTGATATGTTTGGCTGATGTCTAAGTTCAATCACACATATATATACACATACACACACACACACACACACACACACACACACACACAAATTCATTGGTACCTCCCTCACTCAGTAATAATAGTTCTGATAAAATGTTTTGTTTTCCTTTATTCTCCCTCTCCCTGTCCTTATATGAGAGGAAATTTAGGAAAATAAAATATCACTTCCTGTTGAAAATGTATCTATAAGAAATTTTTCTTAGCCATCTACACTTTTTTTATTTAATGAATTACACTACACAACTTTAGTGAATTATTCAAAATTTGTCATGGTTACATTTTTGAAAATTTTTGTTATTTGTTTGTATTAGTGAGTTTGTTTTTATCAACTATCTTGCATTATGCTATTTTCAAAAAGTATTGTATCATATCACTTTATTCTATCATTCTTTAGGCAGGTGTGGTGAAGTCAAATAATTTGTCAGGATAAAGTAAAAAATTTTTAATTTGTGTTATTAACATATTAAACTTGATAAAAGCCTTCAGAACTTTAACTTCACTAATGAAAGTATGGGTGAGATGGTGCATTTATAGTGTCGTAAAATGTTTTAGCACCATTTTTGGTGCTAAAATACACTAACGATATCATTAAACTGACCTGTTTTTCTTTTAGCATGCTTCGATAGTTTGTCTTATGATTGGCGCAGTGGAAGTCCATGCTGTGAAAACTTCAGCAATCCGACGGAAATGGACCTTCGGCCATCTTCTGTTGATACATTCTTGGCACACCACAATCATCATCATCATCGCCTTCATCAGCACGATTCGTCAAGGTGGTCATCCAGGTAAATTTCATCTTTCCAGAGCTCGAGAATATTCCGTAACCAAACAAATTGGGTGGTTTTAAAATTTCAAATGTCGAAATGTGCAAGTGGCTTCTTGTTCACATAGTAATCCTTACATTTTTTTTTTCCATTCCCGAGACTTTATAGTCGTTACCTTTTTATATAGTCGTTACCACATATAGTCGTTACCTTTTTCTCCAGTTAATGATGCCTAATTGAAATCAGGAAAATAGTTAATAGTTTATTTAATTGACAGTCAGATACTAACGTTAGAAGATGGCAATTTTATATCTATTTTGGAAAGGAAAAGTTTGTGATTAATTTTAGAGATAATAATTCATTTTTCAACAATTGCTTGATTGTTGGAAGGCAGTAGTAAAGTCATAGTGTTGGACCACAACAAAATGTCGAAGCCTAGATTTTGACGTGGTAATAGTAGCAGTCTTTTAGCAGTTCTTTTCTAGCTTTCTCTCTTTCCGTCTTCCTTTCCTAGCTTTCTATATCCTGTCGTTGTCCTAGGAACTAAAATAGCATTTTTATTGACCCCTTGTTGGTTTGGCTATCACAATGCTTCCCAATGGCGAGTAGTTGTCAAATTCTAATATATGTGTGGAAGTTTTTTTCTTTCTTAGAATTACCACTAAGTAGAAAGTATGGGAAATCGACTAACTGAGAAGATACCGTTTTGGTTAGCTGGCCAAATCCATTTGACCGAAAAGAACGAACAAGTGAATAAAATTGAATGAAATAAATTATTTATTTGATTGGCTAGCGCCATAAATTCCTTCTTTGGAATTTAGTTAGCTACAATGAGCTATAAGATATGCTGGACACATCGTCCCTATTTGTCTTTCCTCCTATCTTCCTCCCTGCATTCCCTTGTTCATTTAAAGGCATCATTTATAATAGACATTATTATGTAAATCTTTTTCACTTTTTTTACTTGAAAGACGATCTTAAGTAAATTTTATTGACAGAGATGTGTAATGTTTGTTTCATTAATCATTCCAGAGAAGATCTATTGAACGGATCAGGCAGCGAAAATGATTCCTTATTTGTTGCTCTATATGATTTCCACGGTGTTGGAGAAGAGCAACTTTCACTTAAAAGAGGTCAGTATGATTTATTTTTGAGATAATTCAATGTTTATTAAAGCTGTTGTTGTTGGCAGGTAAAGGTAATGGTTATCATAGACAGACAATACAAGTTCATCCTTTTGGGCCAACTTTCTCAATACTTACTTCCTGAGATATGTTCTTATAAGTTACACATCGAGAGGAGTAATAAAAAAGCGCTACTACACATGTGAAGTTCACTTTTTTAAATTTAGAAAGGAGGATTCTTATGGATGAAGTTTGTTATAGATATTGAATTTACATTAAATGATAAGATAAAGGCTTTTTGGCTTTGTCAAAATTGGTTCGTGCAGTCTTATTATATAAATCTAGTGCATCTTGTCAGCTCAATTCCACATTATTCTTATATAGATTGATTTTGAAATTAATGGAGTTCGTGCAATTAAATTTATCAGCTATATAAAGAAGGAAAAAAATCCTGTGTTTAAAATTTCTAGCCACATTTATTAGCTTTTCATTTGGAAGTTGCTGTATTTGCGTTGAATTTAAAGCTATTAAAGACTTGGTAACTGATTCTATGCAAATTCAATGCATATTTTTGAAATAGTTCAAAATGCAGTAGATTAGCTTTGTTAGTGAAACTTTATATCATGTATAGATTAGTTATATATTTATTCAACGTATTTTTTTAAGTCCGAATAAAGTATAAAGCTTATCTGGTTTAAATTACAATATTCATTGTTTTCTGATCATGTGAGATTTAAAAATATTCTTATCGATCTATTGATATTTTCCTGTGAATCATTAAATGCTGAATATCTGATGTAACTTGTGGGGCATATTAACTTGCGGTCCATTTGGACATTAGACAATGTGTGGCTTCGCTTGCTGAATGCTAGGATATTTCAGGTGATCAGATACGGGTGGTTGGACATAATAAAGCTGGTGAGTGGTGTGAGGCACAGTTGGTGAATACCCGACATGAAAATTCGAGACGTACTGGTTGCATTGGTTGGGTTCCTTCGTCCTACATTGCACCATCTAATTCATTGGAAAAGCATTCTTGGTATAGTAATATCATGATTTTCTAAGGTTGTAGTAAAATATACAGAAAGTTTAAGTATATGCGAAAAATAGTTGGTAAACGATAGTTAAATATTTACTAAAAATCATCTACTGTTTGTCATAATCAAAATTTAAATTCATATTAAAATATAGTATGTATATAAATTTATTTTAATGCGGTAACTCTGACAGGCTTTTAGGGTGAAAGATGAAAAATTTGAGTATTTGTTATAAGTCATTTTCTATTCTTCGATAGACAGATTTTGGCTTATACTATGAATTTAATGTAAAAACTTTTAGGAATGCTTAAGAACAATTCCTGTTTCATGTTTATGTTAAGATTTTACGAGATAAGCAATTAATCACTGTCAGCATGACGCTTTTTCGTCAAGTCCGTCACGTATTTTGCTTACTTTTTCCTCTCAAATCTAATTATGTGAAATAGCGATAGAAGACTGAGACATGTAAAGCAATGGCTTCCTTATGCTTCGAATTATTAATTACTTCTATAATGAATACAGGTACCATGGGAAGGTAAGCCGAAGCGAAAGTGAATATCTGTTAAGTTCCGGCATTAACGGTAGCTTTTTGGTTCGTGAATCGGAAACCAGCATCGGACAGTTTTCAATTTCGGTACGACATGATGGTCGTGTTTATCACTATCGGATTTCAGTGGATCGTAACGATTGGGTAAATTGTCTCCATATTTCCCAATGTTTTATATTTTTGAAATGTTCTATCAGTAATTTAAGAGTTTTCAAAATCCACTTTCTATTTATCTTCCAAATTTGACAAGTTATTGATTACTTTATGAAATTTTTTGGGAGACTTTATTCTTTTTTGCACTTTGTTCATTTTCTCTCTTCATTTTTTTAGTCCCTGAATAATATTAAGTAAATAATATGAAATACTTTCTTATTTAGAATATATAAACTGGAGTTATGCATAGATATATCAATCTCTTCGTATGCTCAATATTTCCATTTCTGTATTTGTCCATCCAACAGTTTTTTAATATTTATTAGTAAATTTTTTGACAGAATACTTACAGTTGTATATAACCCAAGAAAGTAAATTCAAAACGCTGGGCGAATTGGTCCATCATCATAGTCTTCATGGAGACGGCCTTATTTGTACATTACTATATCCGGCACCCAAGAAGGAGCGACCACCGATGGTATTTTCATTATCGCCAACCCAACCCGATGAATGGGAAGTGGAAAGATCTGAAATTGTCATGAGAAGTAAGCTCGGTATGTTTTTTTATTGTTCTTAGAGTGAAAATTTGTGTGTTTTGTATGATAAGAAAGGAATTGAAACTTCTATAAGTAAAAACTTTTTTCCATTCCTATATATGATAAGGGTAAAAAAGTTAAGGCTTATCCATTGTTGTGCATTTTTATATGATAGCGATAAAAATTAAAATTTATCCTACTTGTGATAGTTTATTATCCGTCCGATATTTTAATGCTATTTTGGATTCTAATTTTTATATAAATCTTTGTAGGAGGTGGACAATATGGCGATGTTTATGAGGGTTATTGGAAAAAACATGAAAAAGTAGTTGCCGTGAAAACTTTGAAAGTATCTTTTGCTAAAATTTGTCATTTCATAACTCCAAATATGAAAATTAACACTGGTTTCTCACTTTCGACAGTTTGCGTTGCCTGATTTTTCGGCAATATCTTCTTCCATGACATTTCATGGAAATATCAAATATTGATTCATTATCCCTCTAACATCATAATTGAAAATACCACTTCCTTCCAATATCAACCGATTTCTAAAATGGAAATATTTTTAGGAAGAGGCAATGGCATTACATGATTTTTTGGCGGAAGCAGCAATTATGAAAGATTTACACCATCCAAATTTGGTGCAGTTGATGGGAGTATGTACTCGTGAGCCGCCATTTTATATTATTACTGAATATATGAATAGAGGAAATTTGCTCGATTATCTCAGGTTCGTTACATAAATCCCAGTGGATTCTTACTTTAATATTTCGTATTGAAATTTCAAATGCTTCTTAAAGTGCCCATGAAATCAGCAAACTTCTATTTTAATTTTGGAAAACTTTTTGGGATAATTGTTTTATTCTTGATTTGGTCCCCTGATCCATATTCTGTTGCTGCAAGAATTAATTTCTCTTCCATTTATTGCTTATGATACTTTCCTAAATATTGAATCATCTGCTGTTTTTATGCTTTACGTACCCATGTATATATTGCTGAGTCGGCATATAAGAAACTTCATTCTTATTATTACTTCTTATGTAAAACTGTTTTCAATTCAAATGATGTATTGGATAAGTTCAAGAGATAAAGCATAACTATGTCGTAGTTTGCTAAATGCTGGCTTTTTAGAAAGTGCGACAAGAAACTATCACCAACAGTGCTAATGTACATGGCTACGCAGATTGCATCTGGAATGGCTTATCTTGAATCACGCAATTTCATCCATCGGTAAATTTCAATAGCAAATTTGATGCCAGTTATATAATCTGATTTGCGGAAACTTAAATTTCAACAATAACTGAAAACTTGAAGACTAGTTAAGTTTCTAAGTTGCGATTGGTTCGTCTGTTACAAAATTCGATTTTAACTATCGATATAGAAACTTTACTCTTTCTCCTTCATTGTTTACTGACAAAATATTCCGTTTTATGCATCTGCACATTTGGCGAAGCAATAACACAGTTTTCTGAAGATTAAAATCTTTCAGCGATTTGGCTGCACGAAACTGTTTGGTAGCCGAAGAAAATGTTGTCAAAGTTGCTGATTTTGGTCTTGCACGATTTATGAGGGAAGATACATATACGGCTCATGCTGGAGCAAAATTCCCGATCAAATGGACTGCACCAGAAGGTCTTGCTTACAATACATTCAGGTAACCCACTGCATATACATCTTTAGGATTTATCTAAATAGCCACATGAAAACCACGTGTAAAGGATATGGACATCATTAGTCATACTATGATTATAGCATTGTTAAGTGCTTATCTTCAGTAATATGAGTATTTTGATTCTTCATTTCATTATACTAGTCCTTGGGTTTTTTAAGCATGTTCTGAAGTCCAAAATTTAATACACGTGTGACGTGAATACTTTCATTGAAATAAATTATTTTATTTTGCCAACTGCATAGTTTTTATTGTTCTAGTACAAAAAGCGATGTTTGGGCATTTGGTGTTCTATTATGGGAAATCGCTACCTATGGGATGAGTCCATATCCAGGTGTCGAGTTGAACAGTGTTTACGGATTACTGGAAAAAGGCTTTCGAATGGATGCTCCAGAAGGTTGTCCTCCATCAGTTTATCGATTGATGTTACAATGCTGGAATTGGTCACCTAGTGATCGGCCACGTTTCCAAGAAATTCATGCCAACTTGGAATCACTTTTTCCGCAATCCAATATTGATGAAGAGGTTGGTTAAATTGACGGAAAAAAGTAAAGTTTCCGAAAATTTTCTAGATTTGGTATTTCAAAATCTGGTATTTTAAACTGTGGCATTTCATAATAGTCTGGTTAAATGCCACAGTGAATTCTTTTCTAGGTTGACAAACAGCTTGAACGTTCACGTACATCATTACGTCATCATGGTTCATCATCTCATCGCATTGCGATAGGCAATGATTGCATCAGTATTCCTTCAAGCATCGTACCTGTTGCATCACCACGTATCTCAGGTATCCATAGCGGTAGTGTTGAAAATAGTGGTGGTACGGTTGCTGCGGTTCCAGCAATTTGCTCCTCATCAGCCAGTGCGCCGTTGCCACCACCAACTATCGAATTCCCGCCCCCACCGCCACGGAACCAGGATAGTTACGTCGGTAGTATCTCATCAAGTTCTTCTACAGCTATCCAATGCACTAGTGCACGTGACATTCGGGATGCGGCTAGGATGAAGACAACTCAGCGTAATTTGCCGTTACCAATTCCACCATCGTCCGCAAAGCCAAAGTTGCAAAAATTAGGTTAGTGATTAAGTTTGATAGTGTTAGGAAGAGCAGGCTCGCGAACCTTCAATTTCAATAGTCAAATCATACGTAATGTTTGAATGAAAATGGAAATTAAGTTGCCTAAAGTTAATGATGATAGTGGATTGTTGCTATTATTTAGTATATGAGATTGAACATAATTAAAATGGAACTTAAGATTCGGGAAATTGACACTTGAATTACGTCATGATTTACTTCAAGTGATTCACATTTCAATCTTCAGTTCTGGTGTGTGACAAATTGCAGATAGTACACCAACGTCTGATGTGTTGATTTCACCGTTGGCAGAGAAAAATTTACGTAAGGCTGTCAGTAGATTTGGTACCATGCCGAAAAATGCTCGAATTGATGCGTATTTGGAATCGATGTCATTGCAGGAAGACACTGACTACTCACCCACTGGTGAGTATAGTGCTGGCCTATCGGATGATTCCCTGGATGCTATTCCAGTTTCTTACAATAGTTGCTTTAATAGGTGAGGAAAATATTTAAACTTCAATTTCAAATATTTAAACTTTTTTATTACCTTTTTTAATGAAAGCCAATCATTATTGAGTCTCAGCTTTTTTGGAACTTTCAAACCATTTAAAACCGCGTTTTGGCAAAGTAACAATTTTTCATTTAAATATAACTGAAACTGAAACTAGTTTACCGATGATAAACTTTCCAAAATTTCTGTCATTACTTTTACTTTTTCTTTTATAGAAATGATTTAAATTTTTGGTATTTAAGTTTTTTTAATTCATTGAGCTTTGTTTCACTTTTAAAACGTAGGCATATTTTTTTTATTTGATTTTTTCTCGTATCAATGTTTACAAGGTAATGCTGGAGTGGGTACTGATAAAATAAGAAATAAGCTAAAGATGTGATAACCTTTAGTTTATTTCATCAGTATTGATCAACTTTTATTCGGGTACTGCTTTACAGCATTAAATGCAGGGAAAGTGCTTCTTCGTCAAAAATAAATGAATATTTTTCATTTAACTGAAGTTAAACAAATATTTTTCATCTAGCTGAAATTAAATGAAATTTTATTCTTACTTTTACTTTGTTGCTGTATCGGCTTATCTTTGTATTTTGTTCGTTAAAATTCTTCACCTCCTCTCTTTAAAACTCTTATTGCTATTGCTATTGTCACTATTATTGTTTTTCCTCCATGAAGAACATTTTTTAAAATCATTTTCAGGAATTCATCTGATGCTATGAGTGAAAGTGTTAATTTTGGCCAAAATGAGTTGCTACAACAATTAAAACAACGTTTGAAAAAAACAAAATCAGAATCGCCGGTAACTATCGCTTCTCGCTTTTCCGATGTTAGCAGCATGACAAGTATAGCGGAAAGAGTGGAACCATCGGTAGCAGTTATTGCGAAAACCGATTCGAAATTGAAGAAGGTATAATTAGGGATTTCGAAAGGAAATTTTAAAAAATTCCAGAAGTACAAGTAAGGATTTCATTCAACGCTAAGGTCTCATTTCATCATATTCATATTCATTATGCTATACGTGGTAGTCATCATATTCATTATGTTATGCGTAACATAGTAGTTTCAGAGAAACTTTGGCTTGCACAGATTTCCCTAAAAAATACTAATGTTGGGAGAAACAAAATTTTTCATTTAAATCGTCCGATCATTTTTGTAGTTTCCAAAACTCCGCTGGGTGTGCATCGTAGGACCATTTTGACAGTTAAGATATTTAATGCTTTTTTTTTCAAATTGTACATCAGAAATGCTAAAAATTCGATTCAAATCAAATTCAATTGAAAAAATTTGTCCCTTCAGCTGGGTGTTGTACCAAAACAGTCGGAGGAGCAATGGTCACAGAGAAAAAAGACAGCAGCCATACGATCACTAAAATCCAAAGACTTACCGCGTGAGATTGTTGCTGGTAGTGTTGAAACTATAGCTACAAATAGTGCCAAGTCAAAAGATGTTCGAGCTCAAGATGTCGGAGAAAATGAGCTGCGAGCACGAATACGTCAGCTACGGCATGTGGAAAAGCGAAACCCAACTGAAAAACAACAGAAGTATGTTTATCTTTTATGAACGGGCTCCAAAGATAGTTTGAAGTCAGCATTAATTTTATGACAATATTTTATCATTAACAGATCTTTGCATTGGAATTTATAATTTAAACTTTTGATTCTTTCTTGCTCTCGAAATTTTTCCGAAAAATATTGAATCGCTTCAATCTGATTCCTTCATAACTTTCTGCAAAAATAGCAAACTTATTGGACTGAGAAAAAGAAATCGCTATTCACATTTTAAAACACTGATAATAATTACGATTTGCAAAAGCATTCCTCATTTTGAATTTTTAGAAAAAAATGAGTGATAATTAGCAATTACCATATTTTTACTGCATTCCTCTGTAAGGAACTTATTACCTACGTCATTTTTAGAAATTTTTAAAATTTAATGCTTAGGCCGTATGTAACGTCATTTAATTAATTTACTTTCTAGCCGGAGTGGCGAACATTGTGAACCGGTTAATATCGAAACAGCACGGGTACGTACGTTGATAACACAAAAAGTTGCACCATTACAACATCATCGTCCGTTTTCGATGCAACCAGATGCTCAAAGTAGTGAGTCTTCCGATGATGATTCCAGCAAAGGTACTTTATCGGAATTAAGTTGTTAATATTTTTCTCAAAAGGATATGATGCTGTCTGCACTATATTTTGTTGAAGCTTGTCGGCTACTTGTTGAGGACAGATATTCGGCTATCTTTAACATCCAAACAATATATATTGTTTCTTAATTATGATTTGGTAGCATAGTTTAGCGGATATCGTTATTTTTCGATTGAATTAGCCTATTTCAATTTAAATTTTCGAAAATGAAAAAAATACTTAAAATCTATCGTACGTTTTTTCAGCAGTTATAATTCAGCCGGAACGAGTGGAAAAAGAACCTTTGGCGCAAGGACCGGCTGCTAAACTACATCCCAGAGCTTATGCCACACTACAAAGATCAATCAAAATAAGTTTTTCCTGAAATTTTATTTAAAATGCTGTTTGATTTCCAATTTTGATTTTGCTTTGATATCACTTTTGACGAAATGTTCTGTGAAAACTGCATGCAACGTTTAAAAGGCATCGCGTATAACGTTCATTATTCTCTTGTTTGATGCAGAGCTTCTTTGATTCGAAAGAAAAAATATCAAACTGAATTTCCTCTGATGCTGACCGTTGTTAACCCGTACTTTATGTAAATTATAGATCTATTTGATATTTCAGGCCAGTTCTGTAATACTACCAAAAAGAGTCACTGCAGATAGTGATGTAGATGGCGATGCATTGATTAAATTAAAATCCAAGGTAATAGCTCACCCTACAATACCTGACTGTAATGAAACAGACGAACTCGAACTTAGCGGCAGCATGATACGAGCCCAATCGCTCCGTGATCTCACTTCAAAATTCGAAAAGATGGGTAATTCGGGATTGAATGCGACACCTTTCAAAGGCAATTTTCTCTTCATTTAAGTCAAATCAAACTTCTGTTTAATGAAAGTGTTTTTTTAACAAAATTTGGATTCAAGAAATTAAATTAAGATAGATCTTTTCCTGTCGATGGAACCATGCAGTTGTGATGTAGAATTTTAGCAACTTTTTTTGGAGCTGCACTTATGTTTAATGCAATTTTCATAAGACGTAATTGTGGCATAATTATATTGTATTTATCATTTATCGAATGTATATATAAAGTTTCGAATTTTAGGACCTTTTCTTCGTGCTGGCGAGAAACGCTACTCAATGATGGAGAATGTTGCCAGTGCAAATGGTATAGTATCCACTTCTGATGGCTCAATTTCCAGTGCGCGAGAAAGTCAGCCTGCTGTAAGTATTTTTGCTTTCGTATAAAAACTTTTAGTCAGCTCTCCATTTTTAATAATTTGTTGGGATTGTGTAGAAAGTTTTCGATGATAATTAACTTCACTAAAGCAAACACTGTACTAAAAAACTTTTCATTTAGAACATCCTTATTTGGAAAGCTTCTAAATCAAAGGAACTAGTAATAAGTTAACTTGAACCTCAGGATTTAAGAAGTTACGATAATGTCATTGGTCATGCTTAATTTTCATTCCGATCATATATGTATATATGTTTATGCATGTAATTTATTAGTTAAATAACTTTAGGTAAGCCGAGATTCTTTGTTGGATTTATATCGACGTCTGGAAAGTTGTATTTGTGACTTACGTAATAAACGCGTTAGTCGCGTTAGTAAAGGACAGCATGCTAATTATGCCGATGGTCAGCATGCACTACTGATCCGATTGAGTGATTTGATGCAACAGTTTCATCACTTGTGCGCTATTTATGCCGAAAATATTTCACCACATTCAAAATTTCGTTATCGGTTAGTTCGTGTCAAATTCTGTAAAGAGGAGAGAATTTTATAAAATTATTTGAAGAATTAGTTCCGTGAAAATTCAGTGCAGAATTACATTATTTATATATTCGTCATATGTTCAGCCTCTTTCGTGAAAAACTGCACTATAAAATTTGCTTTTTAAATACTTGTATACCTTCTCTTAAGACTTTTCATATCTTCTATTCTGCTGAATACCAAATGGCTACCTACAATTTAGCTTTAGTATTTATGTAATTTATCTTTTTCAATTTTTAAAAGTAATTCAACAGACTCTATAGTTAGTTTATTTGAAACAAAGAAGATTCTGGTAAAGATGGATTAGACCAAAGGCTTATAGTCCGCTGGACCATTTTATTTTCCATTAGATGAAAAGTAATTTTCTTTGACAAATAAAACACTTAGTTGACAAACAAAAAGTATTTAACATTCGTTCTGCTTTCCTGATTTTACAATACATTGTTTCCAAAACATTCTTTTATAATTCTCACATTTATTCAAATTAGTAATATGCAACGACTGGTAGTAATACATTCCTCGTTTTTGCGATGTTAAATCGCATTTTAAATTCAGTGGGTACGAGCCCAAATTATAAATTGTTGTAATTCAGACTTTTTTCTTTTGCTCATTGGATTAATTTTCTAAATTGATTTAATTAAATCTATAATTGCTTGATTTTTAAATTGCAGAGAGTTGCTAAATCGTATGGATGTATTTATCCGTCAACTACGACAATGTGCTTCCTCCACTTCTTGTAATGAAGTGATGCAGGCTGAACAACACATTATACCTCAATTTGAGCAAACAATTCGTCAAATTATGCACTTAGTGCAAAGGTAATTTCTGTTAACCTGCTAGCTTTGTTGTTGATGTTCTATTTCCCGTCTCTTCCTTCAGGTATTTACTTTTAAGGCCTTCGTGTACATACTTGCATACGAACTTTTTAGGAACATTTAGTTTATTCTGCTGCAGTCCCAATCAATGCTCGGTTAAGATTTTCAAGCAGAGATACAAGGTCTATATGTATAATCTTGGGAATGTCAGCATTAATTATACAATCAAAACTTTGGATAATTGTCACGCAATGCTAGAGTAAAGCCTTAGATCTTTGGTGTTTTCGGGGGACATGTATAATTAACCAACGAATGATAATGCTTAATGGTACTTCGAATTTCAGCGATTAAATTTTTATGCTAATTGTTTATCCATATGACTCGTGTTATTGTGTTAACTTTTTTTGCACTGAATTTATCACGTGATAAATTTCCGGTCCGCGTTAATTTTATTCTCTCTGGATCTTCTGCTACTCTATAATGCAAGATTTCGGGCTTATAACACGCTTGGTTGTATTTGTTGTTTTTAGGTTTAAGATCTCCTCAAGAGTTTTTAGATTACGTTATATATACCCAAAGGTTTTTGTTATAGTTCAGTAGATTTTGACTGTGTTTAAAATGGTATTTTTACGAAGAATATCTTTTCAGATGTTGACTTAAATCAACTCTGAAGATTTGATGAGTTCTTTTTTCGCGGAGTTAAACTGCTTAAGTTAAAAAAGGATAAACTGTAGGGAAGAGGCGGAAGGAGATAGTGATTTTCGAACAATCGGAAAAGGAAAGAGGCTTAGATCATGAAAGGTCCATCTGATGGGATAATTGACATGTGCTTTTATTGTAACTAATATTTTGGCGAGAAAATTTCTAAACAAAAATTACGATATAATCGATTATTCAGAATTTCAAATAAAACAAATAATTTGTAGCATTACCTTGTTTGTTTCTTCTTTTTTGAAATAATTTTATCTATTCACTGTGCATTACTTCATTCACTTCCATTATTGACTGTTTTATAATATAATTATATTGTATAGTAAAGGCTGTTTTTGTTGTATGCCATAGGTATGCGGTTCGACTTTTGAATTCTTCAATTTCGAGAGTCAAATTCTATTTTTAATTCAACATTAAATTAAACACGTTGAATTTCTCATATATGCTATCATATTAAAAATGCACTGTATGATTTATGTTAATGAGACTGATGTTAATGGTGATGATTCTGATATTTATTACTCTTACGTTTAGTTTTTCTCTCCTTTTACTGAATACACTTCATATTGTATGCTTTATGCTTTGAATGAAATAAGAAAAGGAAATGGGATACATGAATTTTTTAAAAAAGTTGTGACAATTGCTAATATAAAGTGAGAAAAACTTGTCATATGCACTATATGGTATTAAGGATGGAAATAAAAATGTCATGCCATTTGGAATCTTGTATCTTTCGACTTACATATTTAAACATGTATTTCAAGATTTAGCTCAAGCACAGTTCAATTCTAATTTAAGACTTGTAAACTGGGACTTTTGTGGCCGCTGAATATTTCGGTTGTAAAACAGAATAATTGAGGATTTTTGCTGTTAGCGTTTCTTTTCCCATAGATTTTCCCAATCACGATCTTATGATCAAAATGTTTTGAAGATTGCGGCTGTCGGTAATGCTTTTAATAATGCGAAATTGATTCCGTATAATAATAGAAAGGAAGCATCATTATACAGAGCCGGATTTATAATCGGATTTTGACATAAAAGAATTATGATATGAAAGTTATGGAGTAAAGGTTATGACACAATGGATATGGGAAATGAAATCTAAGTTGTACAGTAGTAGAGTACACGTGATGTATGTAGCAGGTTTCGATGATTTCCAAAAATGAAGATGGGAGACTGGATTCGTACTAGTGAGAAAGAATTGCGCGTGCGGTATCATAACTAAATGGAAATAAAGTTTGCTCAGCGTTATATATGTCACTACCTGTCCACCACTAATATTTCAGTGAAATGTCACCCTACAGTCCTATGCTTGACTCACCAATATATGGAGAAGGATTTCAGTTGATTTTTTTTTCAGTTAAATGATATGTGTTTTTCGAGTATGAGGGAAACTGGGTTGTGTTAATTAAAACTGCGCGTTGGAGACGGTTTTTAAATTAGTAATAAATTTCGGAGGCGGGAAGAGGTCGGTCGGATTTGATCCATTGCTGCAAGCTTCGCGTCCTCAACCGTCGTGTTGTTATCATCCAAATCGTACTTTACTGGCCCAGCTTGTCCGTTTACCAAATCTCAACTGACTTGCCCAACGTTTCAGCTGTAATTTTTCAATCTTTTTTCATTTTCCTAAATCAGTGCAATAAAGATTCTCATGTTATGTGTAAAACAAAGTTTCTATTACCTTGAGCTCATTTGTCAATTTTTAATTAGTTTGCCTAAATTAATAACGAACAATTTCGATCTCTTCAGCAATTGTTTTGACTGAAAAGACAATTATGTTGAAATTTCACAGTGCAGAATATATTCGAACGGGTCGAATGTTTAAAATATTCATTGATATTCTATGCTAATACTGAGCATTAATACTCGCTAATGATTTTATCTGGTTAACTTATCTAAAAAAAATGTTATATTCTCATAATCACCGTACTTTCATTATTCCAATAATCATTATTATGTATACATTAATAACACGTAGTTATTGATATGAGGAAAATGCATTTATCATAATCACTCAATCAGAATATTACAATTATAATCGCTATTCAGTAATCATTGAACAAGGCTTATCATTTCCTACAACAAGTAGTAGATAGACGTAGACGAACATCATCAACCTCCCAAATTACTTCATCCTTTTGGCTGAAAGTTGTTCGTTAGGCTATTACTATCCTCATTTGATTTTCCTTAATTAATGGATAGCACTCGCTGTCTTCTGATGGATTGCTTCTAACTTTATCAATATATTTCTAACTCACTGCTCAGTGATTATTCCCACAATATTAAGTTATTCAGGTAAATCGGATAAGATTGCTATTTTTATTTCAAAGCGAAAAAATGAAGTTGGAAACGAACCAAATTAGATAATTCGTTTGGATTTGGCCATTGTTCTGTATCATCCACATAAGACCATAAGTCTTGCCTATATTCATTTGCCTCCTCTGATAGTGCATCTGAAACAAAGAAATTTCCAACATAATATTTTGATGATTGATGTGTTGAGAGATAAAAAACAATGCTAGACATATTCCAACCAATCAATCCGTTTACGGAATGAAAGTATTAATCTTTTTTCATTTAAGACATAATAGTTTGACAGAAAAGAAATAGCCTTACTCTGTGCTAGTGCTAAAACTGGAAGAATGCAATAAAATAATAATTCTGTAGACATTCTATGAACTCTGACACCTGAAATTTATACCATTGTTTAGAGTAAGAAAATGCAGAACACAATTTCGAGTGAGTGATGACAGAGGGCGTCAAATTTAAGATACTAATATTTAATTTGTGATTCAAATTAAATATTAGTATATCTTAAATTTCTAATATTTAATTTGAATCTCAAATCGGCTTCAATTTTATTTTAGTTCTCTAGTAATTTTCATATATTTCTTCATCAGATCATCATCTCTCAAGAATAAGCTTGCAATAATCTAGCCAAGTCACCACAATTTTTTATCACGAACGATATAAGAACTGTCTGACCTTTCAGTTCGACGTTTCCTTCTACATATTTATGCATTAAATCTCTTTAAATTTTGGAATAAATAATCATGATAGAATGATGTGTATATATTTAAATGTACGTGGTGATAATCCAGGATACTGAGATGGTAATAATTCAGAAGAATTATTCCATAAAGATTTTTATGCTCTGACAAAAAAATCTTAACGCAAAAGTTACTAATTATAGAAATGCTTTGATAAGTTTGTTAAGGGAAGGTTGAAAAAGATGTACGAGAAGCAGCTTCTCGTCATACCTTTAAATTTATTTACAAATAGTGTACGACTCATATGACATTCACCATATACAAACATATGTATAGTACTTGTTTTTTAGAATATAGTTTATACTTACATGACATTTATGAACGTCAAATGATATTAGCCATATGAAACCTGTTATTAATTGAATATACTTTAAAAATCGATTAAAAAATGGTTGAAAATTAATATTCACTGGATTAATAGTATTCAGTATTCATAAACCAAAAGTAATCATGGAAAAAGCAATTGTTTAAATAATACAATGAAACATTCTCAAATTTAACGGCGATTCATTACATCAGGTTCATATTAATGATTTAATAATGAAATATTATATTCATCTGTTACTAAATACATTTTAGAAATATTTTGCCTCCTGGAAAAATCACTCTCTAAGCTCACTGATATTGCAGGTGCATTTAATAGAGTTTCATTTGATACTATCAGTATTTGTCGTTCAAAGATTAGAGAAATGTATGTTTTTTGTAGGCCATAAAATGAATTTGCGAATAAGTCTCTCTAGTGTAACTATTATTTATTTACTGCAAGCATTAAGCCTTATTTGATTCCACCTGAATTAATTATGATTCGAGCTGAATTAATTGAGAGAGTGCTAAGTCATAGTTTACGCCATGTTATATGTTAGCAATTCTTTCACAAAATTTTTAAAAGCATTCGAAGGGATAGATGAGACATTGGAAAATTACTTTTCTCGATCTATCGCAATGATTTGAAAGTTAACACTTATGAAAGGAGCTAATATATGAAAGTGCAGTGTAATTAACTCAAGTCGAATAAGTAGAATGAATTCATTTATCTTCAAGAATTCATTTCTGTTTGCCATTATTCAAACTAATGACGTTAAAACTAATTAGTTAAATAAAGTTAAAAGTTTCAAAGTGAAATTTCAAAGTAAAAGTATTTTTAATAAAACAAAGATTGTAAATCATTACAAGTCGGTGATTTGGCGATTTTAGAAATATAACACGAAACTTGTAGTTGTAATACGAAAGTTGTACTGTGGCATTAATATTTAAGAAATACTTCGATATATTGGTTTAATATTCTGTCCATCCGATTCATTATTGAGGAAATATTTTGAGAAAAATGAATTTATAAATATTAAATAAGCTAAAAACGAATTTAATACCAAAAGATACATTGCTAAAGGAATAAACAACAAAGAATGGAAATTAGCCTAACTCTAAACTTCTATGTTTCATGCAGAAGACAAATCAAGCTTGGCCAATTTATTCATTTAATGATAGAATAATTACCATTAAATGAAAAATTGCTATCGATGAGAATTTTCCTCAAATAGATTGAAATCAGCTGAACTGAATTAAAAAGTAAATATATTTTTTAAGGAAGCGAATAATAGTTAGCCAATGAAAGTAGCACTAAATGATAAATAAAGAACCCATTTTTTTTAAATTGTATAACGAGAAATTTTGTTTTAAAAATTAATTAATTATTCATACTCAATCGCACTCTTTTCAGAAATTGTTCACGCAGGTGTGACAAAATAAATTATCATTATTATCAGGTGAATATAAACAAATGATGCAAAATACCAATAAACAATTCAAACCTATGCAATTAAAATCAAAATTTGAAGCAAAATGTTAAATAATACATAAAAGGAAAGCGGTTAAAATTTCCTTAAATTTTAGATTTAAAAGAATAATTAATTAATTAATTAATATATTATTTTCAGAATGAAAAAATTTGCATTTTTTATTCAACGAAAAATAAAAAAAGAAAAATTATTTTTACTGTTTCTCAAAATTATTAAAAATTTTGGATTTTTGAATGTGAAATATGAAGGAAGCCACAATTTATTAAAATGAATGAGTGATATATTTCAAAGAGATAATAAAGAATAGGCATTGAGAGGTAAATGAGCTAAAAGTATAGGAACGAAAATTAAAAAGGCCTTACTTCAGCAATTATGAAGGAAAAAAGGAAGTTTTATGGAAGTGGAATTAGCACTATTGCCATTACTGCTAATTAAGGCATAATGAATTAGAATTAAAGTTTGCTCTTTTGTTTTTTTTTGACTTTGCTTCGTTTTTGCTATTAAAAGAATGAATATTCTATTAGTTAAAGGACTTACTTATCTTTCTGAGATTAATTTTTTTAAAGGAATTTCCTGTCATCAACAATAAGCATTAATTAAAAGGAAAAAATTATCTGAAAAGGTTGAATTTATTGATTAATTGAACATTACAAAAAAATTTGTGTAATAAATTATGGAAGAAAAATTAAGGAGCAAAACAGATTCGTAAATTGAGAATAGATCCAATTTAAATTCTGCCAAAATACGGGGAAGTGGGGAAAGAGAATAATTAATGAATGAAAGCTGTCATAATAATAATTAGTTGTATTAATGAGACGACGGGTATATCAAATAACTGAACGTAGTTTGCAGCAAATAATTTGTTGAAGTTTGTAGAAGCAAAAAAAATTTTGGGAAAAGCGGCATTCTAAATGAAAGTTATAATATCTGTTTACGTTGAAGTTTTATCAGTGAATGCTTTCTAAAATGTGTTTGATAGGAAAATTGAAACACGTAAATTGGTCCTAAGCAATTTTAATTTAAAATTAGCTCAATTCATTTTGTTAAAATAATATATATATCGGTAAAGTATGAAATACATTCAATTTTACAATTGCGAAAATTCAATTAATAATAGAGTACTCAAACGGTGCTTTTCAATCACATTTTGCTCTCAGCTCCTCAAAAGATATATTAATCGTGAAGAAAAAATAATTATCAGCAGAAATCAAAAATGTCAGTAATGTGATTCTAAATATTTTCAAGGTAATGGAATAGTTGATATAGGTTTTGGAACACATACAAATCAGGTAAGAGCAATAAGAAATAAATGTACTGAGAAAATTCGAACTTCATTGATAATCTATTTTAAAGTATTATGTGAATTTTTGCTCTATAACACTAATAATATTTGATAAATGAAGATTGTTACCATTTTTGTGACTCATCGATCCATACTGATTGAGTAAAAAGAGGAAAAATGATAAAATACATATCAAAACAATATTTAATTATAAAAGTGATGATATTGAACAACAGTAAAAAATACATATCAAACAATGAAAATTGCTACTTTTTTGTTTCTAATTTCTGAAAGCGAAAAATGATAAAATTACAGTCAGATATATCAATGTCTAAATTACGATTAATAATTCATATTATTGCCACCGGTTTTTTCTCTCAATTATCGTATCCTTTTATCTTTTCGGTTTACTGAAAGCTTCAAGTACTTTCGGCATTCTTCTATGCTGTAAGCTTTTTCTGCGTAATTCTGTAAAAATAGAATGAATCTTACTTTTCGGAAAATATTTTGGAAAGATCTTGACAAAACATTCAAAATGTCTTCGATAAACTGATAATAAAAAATTTCTTTAAAAAATAATATAATATTTCAGGGTATTTTGGAATTTCAATTTTATAAGTATGATTATACTTAATTTATCTTTTTCAAGTAAAATTTCCTTGTTACAATAGTCATAAGGGAATAAGTAAAACTATGATTAGAAGTGAACAATTAAAGCAATAGATAAAGGAATGATTCGAAGAGAATAAATAAAATAACGATTACAACAGAAAAATTACGATCACAAGGGAATAAGTAACCTATGATTACAAATGAATAATTATAGAATCACTAGGGAATAGTTCAACCTATGATTACAAATGAATGATTAAACTATGATTAGAAGAGAAGAGAATAACAATAATATGTTATTCTTCCAAATATCCTATCAGAGGAACGGAATAAATGTTACACATAAACTAATCGGTTCGGTCATAATTCGACAGGAGAAAAATAGAAAATGTTTATGTCTAATATTCTGATATCATTAACTGAATCCATTTTTTCTTTTTCAAATTTGATTTTATCCTAGAAATTCAAATTGTCTGATCAATTTTATACAATTTATGGTAATACTTGATATTATTTGCAATACAGTGCAGAAAAAATTAAAGAGTTGGAAATCAGCGGAATCCCATGATTCTGATCTTAAAAGTCATTCATTCCCATAAAGTTCGTCTGAAAAGTGAAATTGTCCTTTAATGATGATTGTTTGCTTTACGCTCACAAGTATAGTTCAGTGATACAACTTATTCTTCGGCTTTGACCGAACCAAATAATAAGGTATTATTAACTGCTTAATTTCGAAATTTCGAAAAAGGATGGTTGTACTATTTGGCACTATTCAACTGTCGTTTTTTATTTGAGGAAACGTAGTTGAACTTCTGATAGGAAAGAGTTAAAATGTATTGAGATAGTAAAATAGCATTTGTATGACAGTTTCTATTCCCATCTCCTGAACCGAATTGAAATTGATCGTATCCTTTATACAAAAAAAGAAATT